TGCGGGATTACAGGCTGAACCACCGAGCCCGGCTAAGTAGTTTATGTTAAATAAAACTTACAAAAGATTATTTCAGATAGAACTCTGTTTAATAATAATCTAATAATTGGAGGTGACAATAAGGACAGTGAGTGTCATTTTGTTTATCATGTGGGACAGCTCTCAAAAAATAAATTAGGAAAAAACTCCCAGGCCAGGCTCAGTGGCTCATCCTGTAATCCCAGCACTTTGGGAGGCCAAGGTGAGTGTATTGCCTGAGCCCACGGGTTCAAGACCAACCAGGGCAACTTGGCAAGACCTCATCTCTACAATGAATCAAAAATTTCCAGGCACAGTGGCTCATGCCTATAATCCCAGCACAAGATGCTGAGGCGAGAGGATTGCCTAAACTCATGGGTTCGAGACCAGTCTGGGCAACTTGATGAGACCTCATCTCTACAAAAAATCAAAAAATTAGCTGGGTGTGGTGATGCATGCCTGTAGTTCCAGCTACTTGGAAGGCTGAGGTGGAAGGATCACCCAAGCCCAGAAATCAAGACTGTGGTGGCCATGAGCATGCCACTGCACTCCAGTCTGAGTGACAGTAAGACTCCAACTCAAAAAAACCAAAAAAAAACCCAAAAAACAAAAAACAAAAAAAACAAAACTTTATTTTAAAATAAAATTTTAAAAAACTTTGGTAGATTCTTTTCAAGTTTATCTTACTGCCACTGACTTTATCCAGGCCAGTTCGTCTTCTCCTAAGTTTTTTATTATGTTCCTATTGGTCTCTCTACCTCTAGTCTAACATTTTCAATTGATTTTTCACACTGTCTTCGAAGAGATTTTTCTGAAACCTAAGTCTGCTTGTGATGCTCCACTGTTTAAATTATTCCGAGATTCAGAATATATTCAAGTCTTTAGCCCAATTTACTATGCCTTCCAATCTTCTCTTCCTTATTCTGTCATTTCTTCTCTTGCACTCTTTTTCCATCAGCTTCACCAACCTATTCGTAGTAGCTGAAACAGCATTCAGTTACTATGATTTCTTCTCTAATACTGAACTTGATACCCAGTCGTTCTTCAAATCTCAAGTGTCACTTTCTTTAGGATGGCTTTCCAGATTCTGTCTCTTTTAACTGTCCCTTCTCTTGTGACTTGTCACACTGTGCTATCACTGATTTGCTTATCTGCCTTTTCCATCAGACAGTGAACCTTTTGTTAGTATTGGCAACTGGGAGTATGTATGCACTTAACCTGAATACCACCACTCCCATTGGGTACTGTGGAGTATGGTGAATGCTAAATGATGTGGATGAAGGGTTTATGTGCTAATCCTGGGATACTAAGTGCTAGGGACACAGAGGGGAGATGCTAGGAAGCCAAGGTCCTGTTATCTGGTGAGTACTTAACAGCTCATTCAAGTCACTTCCTTGATAAAGCTACACTTTTCTACTTTGTCTTATGGTTGTTGTACAGTTTTTTTTTTTTTGAGTCGGAGTCTCTGTCGCCCAGGCTGGGGTGCAGTGGCACACTCATGGCCACTCCAGCATCAACCTTCTGGGCTCCGGCCATCCTTCTGCCTCAGCCTTCCAAGTAACCAGAGCTATAGGCGCAGGCTACCACTCCTGGATCATTTTTGATTTATCGTGGAGACGAGGGCTCACCAAGTTGCCCGGGCTGGTCTCAAACCTGCAGGTTCAGGCAATCCACTCACCTCGGCCTTCCAAAGTGCTGGGATTACAGGCTGAGCCACCGAGCGCAGCCTTGTGCAAATGTTTTACCTCCCACATCATACTCCTAAGAACTGGAAACATGTCTATGAACCCTCTACTATTCCTTGTACAGACTAGGTATTCAGATGTATGTTGATAAGTTTCAATCTTTTAAAATCATTTTTATTTACAGAAACTCATACCTACTTTGTCTCTGATGAGTAAAAGCCTCTGTAAGAAAAAATACGTAAAGCACAAGAGATCTGTGAAGTTCAACATTTTAACTAAAAAAATTCAGAACAGTGTTGTGAAACCCTGGAGAGAAGAATATAATAGGAATTAAGGATGGACAAACATATTCAAATAAAATGTAAAACTGCCTAAACCCCAAATGTGCTGACATGTAAATAACTTCTCTACCTCAATTTTCATATACTTACACAAGGAACCAGGTATATGCCGAAAGAAAATACTGGCTTAGACTAACACAAAAATCTAATTTTATTGTTTAGATGAAAAACAAATGACTTGGTCATGGCCTCAGTTTATTTTTCCCACCCTTACTCTATCTGCATTTTAAGCATTATGTCTTTTACAGCTAAATTACTTTAAAATTTTAATAAATAAATCTTCTCAAAATTTTTATGGTCTTAAAAAGTTTCATGATTGACAATCTGGCGATTAATCTCCCAATCCTAAATTAAAATTTAAATGTACCAGAGGCTCTGCTATTTAAAATAAAACTCTGGAAACTGTCTTGATATAGAAAACTATTTCTTGATCATCCCTTAATTTATCTGCTTTGTAGATTTAATTTTCTTATTCAGTTTTGTCCTGGGCCAGGTAAAAAAAAATAAAAATAATTTTCTCATTTTACAATTTCTTATAGAATCATCTAACCATTCCTATTTGAGACGCAAATGCAAACAAATATAAGTTTTAGAAAACTATTTAAATAGAATTCTAGTTTGAATTTCAAATGATTAGAGTATATCTAGTGACTACTTTGGTATAGGGGACACTATTTCTCTCTCCATTGCATGGACTGAACATTATGTATAATAATAAAAAGCAGAAATAATAAAATTATCATAAATAGTTTAGCCAGTATAATCAAGAATAAATGGGAAGTAAAGACACTTTTTATAATTCAGTAATATAAGAATGAGTAAGGCAAAACATGGAAATCCTAAAATGAGCATAATTGCAGAAGAATACTAGAAAGAATAATTTTTAATGTAGCTACAACAATCCCGCAGTAAAACACATTATTTGGCTTTTTTTTTTTAGTTGGAGTCTCACTCTGTTGCCCAGACTGGAGTGCAATGGCATGCTCCCAGCCACTGCAGCCTCGACTGCTGGGCTCCGGCGATCCTTCCACCTCAGCCTTCCAAGTAGCTGGAACTATAGGCACGCGCTACCACGCCCGTCTAATTTTTGATTTATTGTAGAGATGAGGTCTCACCAAGTTGCCCGGGTTGGTCTCAAACCCGCGGGATCAGGTAATCCACTCGCCTTGGCCTCCCAAGGTGCTGGGATTATAGGCTGAGCCACGGAGCCCAGTCAAAACACATTATTTATAAAGGCACATTTCCCAATAAGAAGAAAACCTGTGATAACATTATTATATCCCTTAAGATAATCCAATAATCACTTAAAAATAATGTTCAGATACACCCCAACAACTTTGTTCTTAACCAAAATTTTTTTTTTTTTTTTTTTTGAGTTGGAGTCTCACTCTGTCGCCCAGACTGGAGTGCAGTGGCCGCTCCCGTCCACTGCAGCCTCGACCTGCTGGGTTCCAGCGATCCTTCTGCCTCAGCCTTCCGAGTAGCTGTAACTACAGGCGCGCGCTACCACGCCCGGCTAATTTTTTCTTGATTTATTGTAGAGATGAGGTCTCGCCAAGTTGCCCAGGTGAGTCTCGAGCCCGCGGGCCCAAGCAATCCACTCACCTCGGCCTCCCAAAGCGCGGGATTACAGGCTGAGCCACCGAGCCTGGCCCCATATTTTCTTAAATAGGTTTCTCCTATTAGCAAGGGAACATGCTCATTTAGGATCATGAATATAGCCCCTTTGGTCATCTTAGTTCTCACATGTATTAATAGGTACTCTGGTTTCCAAATCAAGCCTTATGTGAATTTAAAGGGAATGAAGCAGTTTTCAATGAATAATAATCTAGTAGGTAAGATCACAAGGGCTAATTTAATGTGTCTACTACAGTGCCCACCACATGGAAGTCTCTTTAACTCATTTGTAATCACTGATGTGAATTTACGTCATTCCAAATTCTGTTCCTGGTTGCTGCTGACGTGAATTTAAGTCTTTTCAAATTCTGCTTCTGAGTAATATACATTCGGCTTATAATCCAAATAAAAATAGAAAGCACGGAACGCTAGTCAGAGTGGTGTCTGAGACAAATACTGGATACATCTGCAACTTTGAGTTGTATTGTGAAAAAGGTGACAGTTTAGAAAAGACCATTTCACTTGTGCTTAACAACAGAAGTTTGCGGCAGCTGGCTTCAGATTTTTAAAATTTTCACCCACAATAAGTATTAGGAAAGTGAAAAATTTGCTGGATCGCGAATGTGTTGTTTGTATGTAGTTTTTTCCTCTTTTCTTCCCTTGCAACTCTGTAATACAAATAAAGCATGGCTCAAAAGAACCTCACAAGACAGGAATGATTTGTTGCTGATACTTTAACATCAATATTTTATAATTTATTGCAAAAAATATTTTGCACAACACCACTACAAATACTGAACATGGTTTTATGAAAGTTACATTTTATGATAAAAATATTTCCTAAATACCATGATAATTCACCTGTTTTCTTCTTAACTTCAGTGTAACAGCTAAGATTAGGGTTAGAACTTAACCCCAGCAGACATGAAAATTTGATCACTTGGTTTATAAATATAGTCAAATACACAACAATATTGATTAGCATTTCCATGTGCTTCAAGATAAACAAGTTTAAAAGAAATATATACATTTCTAGTTACAGATCCTAACTAGAAATATTATAGTAAGCCGGGTGCAGTGGCTCAAGCCTGTATTCCTAGTACTTTGGGAGGCTGAGGTGAAGGGATTGCCTGAGCCCACGGGTTTGAGAACAGCCTGGGCAACTTGGCGAGACCCCAACTTAAAATAAAAAAATTAGCCAGGCATAGTAGAGCGCTGTAGTTCTAGTTACTTGGAAGGCTGAGGAGGAAGGATCACCTGAGCCCAGCGGATCGATGCTGGGGTGGCCATGAGCGTGCCACTGCACTCCAGCCTGGATGATGGAGTAAGATTCCAACTCAAAAAAAAAAAAAAAAAAAAGAAAAAAGAAATATTTCAGTAAAGTTGGTGAACTACTACCACCAATAGACAGATTTCTATACAACTGAAAAAGTCAACATAAAAAAAAATAAAGAAATTTGTCAAGTGGATAACAGCTAGGTTATGTTCTGTTCAAAGTCTTATCACTGACCCCAACATTGGAATTTCAGAGCTAGATAGTATACAATTCAAAACTCTTGCTTTGTCCCTTTTCTCTGATATTTTCCTAACCCTTTCAGTCTTCTAGAATCATCTATCAGATTTTCAACCAACTGCAATGGGTCAAATCTCTTCTATACATGACCTCATCCTTCTCATGTCGCCTCTGTTTGCAGAGAGTCGGTCAAAGTCTTGGAGGTGGAAACGAACTGCCAACTGATTGACCATTTTCCTCAAGGTAAGAAATGCTGCAACAACTTGGAAAGTAAGGAAGAGAGTGAAGATGATATGTATCGCTTTTTCCAAGGGCAGATTCGTGAGGCCGTCATTAAAGAGCAGAAAAAGAATTAAAGGCAACTGCAAGAGAAGGCTCAAAAGCCAAAAGCCAGCCAACTCAGGAACCTGCAATGACACATTCCAAGAGTAATAAAATCAGTAAAACATAGTTTTTTGTTTTCACAGATAAACAAGTACTTACCACATTTTGGTTTCTGTAATTCAAAAGGAGAATGACATGTTCTTTCTCCTCAGATGATGTACAATCTAGATGAGAAAATTAACTTATATAAAACAATCCTAGAATACTACACTTCAGTGAATAATTAAGTGCAATATTTAGAAGTATAAATTAAATGCTACAAGAAATAAGAGAGTAATTAGGGTAGGTAAGAAAAAAAAAGACTTCGAGAATGTAGGCTTTTAAAGTTGCACAAGAGGAGGAAGAGGCAAAACAGTCAATAAGCAAACATGTGAAATGAGTATGACTGGAAGTCAACATGTCAGCCTGGGATAGATGGCTGGGTTAGAAAATAGCAAGAACTACAGTAAGGCCGGCTGGGTGAGGCCTAATTATGAAGGGTCTAGAAAACCACAGAAATCTTTAGGCATTATCCCTACTCTTTGGGAACCATGAATGCTTAGGCAGCATGATGTTGCAGAAAACACGCGCCTGGCATAGGAAATGAGTTTATAATTTCCCCCCGTTTTCTTTTCCTGGATCCAAATAAACATGTTTAATTGATCAAGTATTTCCAAGACTGATGAGAGAAGTAGGAAAACTATCAATTCTTAAGTGCTTACTACATTGAGGTACTTTATATAAATCATTTCATCTAATTATGACAAACCTGTGAGATAAATATTATTTTTCCCCATCTTATATATGAGGAAGCCAGGGCTCAAGAGATTAAGCAAGTAGGCCGCAATGATAGAAATGAAAAGTTGGAACCAGGCCCTAAATTCAGACTTATGTTCTTTCCACTACACCTCACTGCTTTTATTTGCCATGATAAACTTACTGCATTTATATACAGCACTTAGAGAAAGGAAAGAAGAGCTTACCTTCTCCTGTAGGTTACCCATGTAGCCTAGATACAACCGGATGACTTCAATTAAGGTTATTAGGATGATAACAGTGATTACAATAAATTTGTAGTAATCAGGCAAGATTGAATACTAAAAAAAAAAAAAGCCAAAACATGTTCGTAATATAGTAGTGCTCCTGGGATAGAAAAATATATTAAGAACTTTAATTTTATTGACAATGTCAGGGACAGGCAGAAGAGGCCTCAGCAGAAGTATTAGGCACAGACTTACCTTTATATGAAGCATCAAAATGCTGCTCACCCACCAAAGTGGGAAAAAATAAGTGTTCAAATAAAGTGACATCTGCAACACCAAACTGGAGACCATTTCATTATCTGCAGAAGAAAGAGAAAGAAAAGAAACAAACTCTTAATCTTGATCTATGCCCTAACAATTTCTTTTGTTTCTTAGAATTAATAACTATAATATTGGCTCAATAAAATTCCAACATTTAAGCCTATTTATAATCATTGACAGTAAAAGGAATATTCAGCCTAATATCATTTAGTTCAAATATTGGTTACTTGGGAGTTTGTTTCATATTTTTCAATTACTTTACATTTTGTCATTACATTCTGTTAACTTTTTTGTACTCTACTGGTGCAGATTAAATGTGGAATACCAGTACAAACTGAATCAGAATTTATTTAATATATAATAATTATCATTGCCTCCTTTGTAGAGTTCTATGTAAGAAGTCTATAAAAAGCAATAAACACATAAAAACCAATCTCCCACATATGAACTAAGCTCACACAAAAACTGATCTCCCCAGATTAAACACATCCCTCTTTTTAGCATCCCCTAAATCTCAGTAATTTTTTTATGTCCAATTCAATGCCACCTTTTCCATCAATCCTTCCTTGATCATATTCCCCAACCCTAGCAGAAATCTCTTTCCCCTTTAGGTATTTACCATTCCAAACTGTGTTTAAGAAGTGCTAGCAAAGAATCACACTCCTCAACTGAGATGCACTCTAGTGTGTTGAAGAGATCATGGGCTTCAGAGTTCAAGTATCCTCAGAGGTCCCCAATTCCCCATAACCCTGGATGCCAGACTTTAGATATTTAACCTCTTAGAGGCTCAATTTCTTCATCTGTAAAATGGTACCATTAAAACTACCTCTCACAGGCTGTTTGTGAGGATTAGAGATAATATAAATTATTTCACCCTAGCTCCGTGCCTGGCACACTTAGTAGGCACTTGACAAATATTAGTCCCCTTTCTTTTCTACTTACACATAGTCTTGTTGTAAGCACTGACCATATCCTACCCAAATTTGAGACCCTCACGGAATCCAGCATCTTGCTTTACACATAGTAAATATCAAATACACATAAGAATGATTAATAAAAGCATACTGTCACAAGAAAATGAACAGCGTGGTCATTTGTGATACATGACTTCCATGTATCTAAGGCTGATAACATAATATCTTTTGCTTTTATGCAAGGAAGAAGGGCCCTAAATTAAGATTTGATTTTTAAAACTGTACCCTAAAAAAATACATCCTAAATGTGACTAAATTCTTTTTCTTTTTAACTTTAAAAGTTTTTATTTTAAAGATGTGGGATACAATTTAGGGTTAGGTATACAAATGTTCATTATGCAGGTACTCTTGTTGATGAGGTGTAATTTGACTAAATTCTTAAGAGCAGGTACATATTTTAGAATCAATTGCTCTAATTGTAAGACTTTACACAGGCTCTAAAATAAATTTCTTAAAGCATTATTTTTTCTTGTTCTCCACACTAAGTGTTTTAAAAATCTGTCTTTTAATAACTTTAAAATATAAGAAACAATCATGGTCTCTCACAGTAAGATGGCTTCTTTTAGCTCCAAGAATATGCCTGGTTATTATGATCTACTTTTGCTTGCACAATTTATTAAATGACTACTGGTAAAGGAATAAATTCTTAAAATCTGTTAAATCTGAAGACAACTCACCAGCCTAGGATTTTTTTTTTTCCCATAACAACAGTACAATGCTGTGGATATGATAATGACGAAAACTTGGTGATTACAGTTCATATAATCAAACCTACTTCAGATCCACAAAGAAGAAAATATGGAAAAAAATGATAAATTGGGCAGGCTGAAAACGTTAGTATGTTTAGAGCAGAAACTAGTCAAATTTTGCAAGACAGTTTTTATGTTCAAAGTTTGGTACATGAAGATTTAAAAAAGTTATGCTATGCCCATATTTCAGCAAATCAAACTTAAAATCAAGCAAAAAATCAAGTTAATATGAAATGAACCTTAATATGTAAATGAACCTCAGGGGTAGGCAAACTACTGCCCGGTTGCCTGTTTTTGTACGGTCAGTGAGCTAAAAATGGTTTTTCACATGTTCAAAGGTTAAGCAAAAAGGTACCAATTTGTGACACGTGAAACCCATACGAAATTCAGACTGCAGTGTCCACAGATACATTTTATTGGAACACAGTCATGTCTATGGCTGCTGCAGAGAACACATGGCCTGCAAAGTCTAAAATGTTTACTCTCTGCCCCTTTCCAGAAAGCATTCGCTGATTTTGTATTATCAGATTTTAGTGCCTGTTGAGCCTCAGCCTCTTAGAAACGTAAAACCCTTTCCCCACGTTTTTCTCTGAACATCCTAAATCATGAGGAGGCCTACATTTGGGGGACAGGCAAGAGATTAAGGTGACAAAGGGCAACTGTGGGAACTGATTTTACTTTTCTCTGCTCCCTTTTAAAATTCCCTAAAACCAAGCAGAGAAAAAGATTTTCTGTTTCCTAGCAGAGCCCTACAATAAAAACCACACGGGTTTGGTTGACAGTGTGAGGTCTGTCATCAAGACTTAGGAGGAGGAAGCTGCGTTATCACGTGTCATCAAGCTGAGCAGTAGCATCAGTGGTATTCTGTTACCTTAGGGGAAGAGTTACATGGACAGGGGAGGAGGAGGAGAAGGCCGGGAAGGGGCGAGTACTGGTGAAGGCCTTGCAGACGCCACTCTGTGGAGGATGGCGGTTTTAAATGACTCATTAAAAATTTTTTGTTTAATTTCCTATCTTTTCTGCTGGCAAACGGCTTTCGGAAAGAACGTGCCCGTTCTGCTAGGAAAAGAGACCCCCCCCCCCCAAAAAAAAGGTTTCACCGGGGTGGGGCGGGGGGATCGGGAAGGCGAGATCGCTGGGGCTGTTTTCCCCATCTTGGCCAGAAAAAGGCAGGGCGGGCGCCACGGAGGGAAAGCAACGTCGGCCTCGCGGAGCGCGGGCCCCAGCGGGTGCTGCGCGGGCGGCTTTGATCTGTTTATTTTGGGGATCAACTCCCGGGCAATGCTGAGCCTCCTACGCGACGCAAAGGTTGCCGCCACCTCCGCTGCCGCTCTTGCATGGAGCCCGCAAGGGGCAGCCCGGGCAGGCCAGGCCTGGCTCGGGATCCGCGGCCCGAGGCGCCCCAGCCCCCGCGCCGGCTCCGGGCTCGGCCCCTCCTTCCCGCCCCGCGGGGGACCCGCTGAAGGCGAAATCGCCATCTTAGGGCCGGGCAGATTCTGGACGCCCCCAAACCCGCGCCAAGCCCGCGGCGGGCCACACCCCCAGCGCCGGGCCGCGGCCACTCACCCGCACCCTCGTTGTACTCCGGCCCGGTCCGGCTGGAGGTGCGGAACACGGTCCGGCTGAAGTTTCCCAGCCGCTGGCGAACCGGATCCGGCAGCTCCATGCCTGGGCCTCAGTATCCCTCGCCCCTCAGACCCTGGCGGGGCTGCGGGCGCTGCGGCGCT